TGTGGCAATACAAAAGAAAGCATGATTTCCTGTTGGAGGTTTTGAGGATTGTCTTAAAAAAAAACAGAGGGCGGGAGAAGCAATAGTTGAGCTCAGGTCCAAGGTGACTAGCTGCACAGCTGCTAATGGAGTAATGGAAATCAGGGATGTGCAAGGGACCAGAATTGAGGACAGGTTTACAATGAGGCTGAAGTATAGAAAAATGGAAAGCTCCTTGAACATAGCTTTATAGTGGATGGAGATAAAATAAGATAGAATTCTGATAGTGATCCATCGTACAGGTTATTTGTGACAGGCATCAAAATCAGACTGTTTCCTTATAATGGTGACTTGCAGAATGTACCCTGCTGTCAAACAGAAGGCAATAATTACTTCTCAAAACCATAATATCCACTAACTGGGTGTGCAAGGGGAGTAGCCAAATGGAGACATCACCACCTACAACTTTGTCTCTAAGTAAAACACCTTCCCAACTTTGACACATATCATCATTCCTGTCTTGTCACTGGGTCAAAATACTGGAACACGTGGACTACTACATTTTCCAAAAGGTGACCTTCTCAAAAAGTCAATACTTCCCACATTGTTTAATCTCACCAGCCATGCCGACATTCCCAGAATGAATATTATGTTTAAATATGGCGACTTACAGTTGTGAGTCATAAAGTTGCAGGTTCAAATCCTGCACCTGAACTTAAAACCTTCGAATTCAGGCTGATATTACATGCACTACTGAGGGAGTGCTACACTGCCAGAGGTTCTGTCTTTCAGTGCGATATTAAACTGAGGTTCCTTCTGCCCTCCCAGATGAATGCAACATCATGGCTATAATTTCAAATGAGAGAAGGGGAATTGTCATGGTATTGTGGCCAATATTTGTTCCTCCACTAACATAAGCAACACACATTATCTGGTCAATGACATATTGCTGAGCATGAGAGCTTGCTGTGTGTAAATTGATTACAGTTGTTATTCCACTATGGTAATGACCACACTTCAAAAAGACAAGTATTTAATTGGCCATAAAGCACTTTGGAAACCTGGTGATTGTGAACAAGACTCTATAAATTCAAGTCTTTCTTTATGGTGGATTTTATTCCTGGTGTTTAGATGGGACAGTCTACCTAATTTTGAATTGGTCAAAGTGTGCTCCATGTGTATTTGTAACCTATATGTTTTGTCTGCCGTTTGTCCTTTCTGTGCATGTTTTACAGCATGCTTGTCTCTCAACAAGACAGCACAATTAATATGACTTTCAGATGTCCTGACATCTTTGGAGCTCAAGTAAATAGATTTGCTAGGAATATTTCATTGTGGGTAATGTGCCGTGATCAGTTCCTTTAGGCTGTAGCTTGCTTGAGATGTTCACCCTATATTTGCTTTCAGTGCATCAAACAAACTTAATTTATTTCTCCTACAGATCCGACATTGTACAACGATGGAAGAATCTGTTTATCATGAATTGTAGCTCTTTTTTTTGTCCCTCTGCAGTGATGAGTCAGGAATCTCAAAAACCTATCGCTGGGGTTTGTGTGTCTTCTTCGATTGCACATAACCATTTACCAGCAAGGGTTTACCTGATCTTGGAGACTGTTGACTTACATTCACACATGTGTATTGGATTCTACTCAAGTACTGGAGCTTAACCATACTTCCTAAAAAGATAATTTACTTGTGTGAATGTTGGAGTGTTTGTGCAGACCTGAGTTTCTTTTGCTATCCATCTATTCCTGTCCTAATTTTTTTGCCTCTCTAAGGAGATGACATGGCTGTAATGAGGTAGGTGGAGAGGGACCAATTGGTATATCTTGTGCTCTTCCACCACTGCAAAGAGAATTTCGCTGGAGGTCAAGAGACAGTCTCAATGGATTAACTGAAAACCAAAAGAACTGCAGATGCTGTAAACCAGAGGCAAAAAAAGAACTTGCTGGAAAAGCTCAGCAGGTCTGACAGCATTTATGGAGAGAAATCAGAGTTAACATTTTGGGTCGTTTCAAGTCAGAATAGCTATACTATATCAATACCTCGGATTCAATTCCAGCCTTGGGTGACTGTGTGAAGTTTGTACGTTCTCCTTGTGTCTGCATGGGTTTCTTCCAGGTGCTCTGGGTTCCTACCAAAGTCATGCAGGTTAGGTGAATTGGCCTAGCTAAATTATCCATACTTTCCAGGGATGTGCAGGCTAAGTGGATTGGCCATGGGAAATGCACAGTTACGAGGATAGTAGGGTTAGGGGTGGATCTGGATGGGATGATCTTCGGAGGATCGATGCAAACTTGATGGGCTGAATGGCCTCTATCTGTGCTGTAGGGATTCAATGATTCTCTTTCCTATAGCCTGCCCAGTGACACCCTCATGCTCTCCACTTCTATTCCTGACCCTCCCACACACCAGTCCCTCAGTCAATGCCTCCCTCCTTCCCTTTCCCTGATCCCTTCATAACAATGAGAGAGAAGCTGTGAGGAAGATGGAGAGTGGTGGAAGGAAGCCAAGAGCAGCAGAGGTGGTGGCTATGGGGGTCAGGAAGGACAGCGAACAGACCATACCCCTGCTGCTGGTTTCTGTGTTTTTATGTTTATGAAAGTTATTTCATTTGTGAGCTCTGTAATTATAACAATATGCTCTATTTCAACTTGCTGGGTATAATTTTTTTTATTTCTGATGGGCAAGGTCCCAGAAAGTAACCACAACTCTTAAAAACAGAAAAAAGTGCTGGAGAAATTTAACAGGTCTGGCAGCATCTGTGGAGAGAATACAGAGTTATTATTTCAAGTCCACCATGGCTCGTCTTCTGAACTCAACTGCAACTCATTGTCAGATGTTCAGCCCATTAAGCCCACACTGACCTTCCAACCCAGACCCACTCCATCTCTTTGCAACCCTGTATTCCCCATGGCTAATCCACCTAATACACACCCTGGACACTACAGGGCAATTTAGCAAGGCCAATTCGTCCAACCTGCACATCTTTGGACTGTGGGAGGAAACCCACACTGACGCAGGGAGAACATGCAAACTCCACACAGACAGTTGCCCGAGGGTGGAATTAAACCCAGGTCCCTGGCACTGTAAGACAGCAGTGCTAACCACTGAGCCACCGTGCTACCTCTGGATACCCTAAGAAAATTTGATTTGTTTAACTGTTGCTTCACTGACAATCTACTTTGTAGGGATGCAAATACAATGTTAAGTCAGGATTTACTGTATATTCCATACCTTTCACAATTCTGTAGGTGCATCTCTCGTTCTGATTGCTCCGGGTTGGAATCGCATCAACTTTTCCCAATCTGCCATCAATTCACTGAAATTTCTAGTGTTTCCCTTAATTCCAACAAATCTTCCACCAAAATTACACCCTGAGGAAAATGATCTTCTCATTAGCCTTCATCATACTATCACACTGAAAGGGTGGTTGATGTTTGGAAGTGTCTTCCACAAACAGCAATGAATACTGGATCGGTTGTTAATTTTAAATCTGAGATCGATAAATTTTTGTTAAGCAAAGGTCTTAAGGGATATGAGCCAAAGGCAAGTAAAAATAGTCTGGCTACAGATTAGCAATGATTTCAGTGAATGATGGAACAGGCTCGAGGGGCTGAATGGCCTACCCTTTTTCCTATGTTCCTATCTCTTTATCGCAGTTTATCTCTCTCTGCTTGGATACTGAGGTTTATGGTTTCGTTATTGGGCCGGTTGACCCAGAGGTAAAAAATGTTGGAAATACTCAGGTCAGGCAGCATCTGTGGAATGAGGGTTAATGTTTCAGGTCAATGCTCTCTCCTCAAAACTGTTTAAAATTCAGAGATAGAACGGGTTTTGAATAGTTAGGGAGAGAGATGGAAAAGGAGAAAGGGATGAAAGAACAGAAAGGAAGATATTTGGTCAAAAGGAAGGCAGGGAAGATTGTTTAACAGAATGAGTGATGATGCAAGAAAAAAAAGTGAACAGGACAGGTAAAGAAATGAAAGGATGGTTTTAGAAAAGGGGTAAATGAGAAAGACAGATTTGTTGCCAACTGCCGTGTGAGTTAATAAAAACTGAAAGAACTGTAGATGCTGTAAATCAGAAACAAAAACAGAAATTGCTGGTAAAGCTCAGCAGGTCTGGCAGCAGGACTGGTTCTGAGGAAAGGACACTTGACCCTGAAACATTAACTCTGATTTCTCTCCACAGCTCACAGGTCTGGCATCATCTGTGGAGAGAAATCAGAGTTAATGTTTCGGGGTCAAGTGTCCTTTCCTCAGAACCAGTCCTGCTGCCAGACCTGTGAGCTTTGGCCCTGTGAGTTAACAATGCCAAAATGTGAACCTCTTCTCCTGGCTGAGATGTGGATATATTGTCTGTTGCATTCTCCCTAAATTACATTAAACCTTTGTTAGAAGATCAACACAAACATTGGAGAATTTGCACTATCTGTGATTTTCGTAGTTTTTCCTGGATTTCTGGTAACGCTGTACAAAATTCATGGTAGAAAATCAATCCAGCCTCCACAAATATTTTAGCCTAATGTTAAATTTCAGAGATGTCAAACTTCAGTCTATTGTTTACTACAAATACAAATAACCAACATCACCTGGAGACACATTCAAATCAGATAATACAAAAAGAGACCTTTCAGCCCATCGTGCCTATGTCAGCTCTTTGACTGATCTGCCTATTCAATCCTACCCTCCTTGCTCCTTCCCTGCAGTCCTGTGAGTTTCCCCTTCCCTATGTTTCCATGTTTACTGCTGGAATCTGTTTCCACCGAGCTTCCCAGCAGTGTGTTCCAAATCATAACGATTTGCTGCATTCACAAAAGGTTCCCATTCTCGCTCTTTTCCATATTCACTATGCCACGGTCTGTTTTCAAGACACTGTTTTAATGCAGGGATTCTTCAAAAGGTTTACCAAAATGCTATTGCTCCGGGGACAGCAGTGAGTTCTGTCAAAGGAGCCAGAAAGCTACAAACACAACGCTGCCAGATTGAGAACTGATGTGTTTTGTTTCCCTGTTACAGACTGGGTTGCTGTTCAAAGCATGAAAGTGGATCTCGGGCCAGTATTCGAAGAGCAGCCAAAGAACACCCTGTACCCTGAAGGTTCAGCAGAAGGGAAGGTGACATTGAACTGCCACGTCAGAGCTAACCCACACCCTAAATACAGGTAGTACCCACTCAAGGAACCATAGCCCTGAACCAGTGCTGTTTGAGCAAAGCTGTTAGTTTACAAACTATGTTCTGAGATTATTTATGTGTGAAATTATTTCATTTATAAGATGGGATGGTTCCATTATCATAGGAGCTGGCAGAAGCCATTCAGCCCCTAGAGCCTGCACCATCATTGAGTGTTGAATGATTTATACCTTCAACCCATTAACCTGCCTTGGCTCCATTTCTTTTAAACCCTTGTCAAGCAAAACTATTTTATTTCTTTATTCATGGGACCTGGGCATCGTTGGCTGGGCCAGTATTTATTACCCATCCGCAGTTGCCCCTTGAGAAGGTGGTGGTGAACTGCCTTCTTGAACTGCTACAGTCCACATTCCATAGGCAGATCCATAATGCCATTCAGGAGGGAATTCCAAGGTTTGACCCAGCGATAGTGAAGGAATGGCGACATATTTCCAAGTCAGCTGGTGGTGTTCCCATGTATCTAGTGTCCTTGTCCACCTAGATGGAAGTGATCATGTATTTGGGAGGTGCTGACTGATGATTTTGGTGAATTTCTGCAGTGCATCTTGTAGATGCTACTGAGCGTCGGTGGTGGAGGGAGTGGATGTTTGTGGATGTGGCGCCAATCAAGCGGGCTGCTTTGTCTTGGATGGTGTCAAGCTTCTTGAGTGTTGTTGGAGCTCCACCCATCCAGGCAAGTGGGGAGTACTCCATCACACTCTGGACTTGTGCCTTGTAGATGATTGACAGGCTTTGGAGAGTCAGGAGGTGAGTTACTCATTGCAGTATTCCTAGCTTCTGACCTGTTCTTGTGGCCACAGTGTTTATGTGATGAGCCAGGTTGAGATTCTAGTCAATGGTAACCCCCAGGATGTTGATTGTAGGGGATTCCGTGTTGGTAACACCATCAAATGTCAAGGGGCGGTAGCTAGATAGTTTCGTTTTAATCATCATAGTTTAAGTTATTACATAATTGTTAACAGCAACAACATTTAATTTAGATGGTACCATAATCTATGAAATATCCCAGAGTATTTACAGAATTACCATCGAGCAAAATTAGATACTCAGCCACAATGTGTCCAAGTTTAATATCCCCAGTATGAACCTATCTTCCACTCCCATTTGATCTAGGAGCCTGCATTGCCACATGTGGATCACATTCATTGCCATTGTACACAATTCTCACATACACTCACTTTCACTCATTGTTTGCAAAGCACCTGGGCTGAATTTTCCAGGCTGTCCCTGAGCGGGTAAACAAACGGGTGAATCTGTGAGTGAGGGCACCGTACCATCTGTGCCTAACATGGCACTTGCTTCACCACAGTTCTGCAGACGGAGGAGAGGTGCTGGCCGGGCCATGTGCTTGTTGACCCAATACAAGCGGACAAGTAGTGTTATCGCTGGGAGTCAGCAAACGGGGGAGAAGCCAATGGCCTGAAGAATATTTCATGGGATCTGTGGCTATAGGTGCACAGAATCCTTGTTAGTTTTGCCTGCACGGCAACAGTCTTGCTGCTCAATGGGCATGGAAGTGTTTCGGCAACATTCTGAAGTCAGTCCCTATCCATCTATACTTGTCTCCATTTTATGCCTTGCAGGTTCTTTGTAAACTGAGATCATTTCCTGACTTAGTTTTGGCTGTAAATGCGTTTTATCTCCATCAAGCACTTTCTGAAATGGAAAGTAATTTCATCCACTAGAATCCTACATAATGGGATGAATTGGGATTCATTTAGCCAATTCATACATAAAATACTACGGTGACATTAGAATAGGTTTAGTTCTTTGCAATTTTGTCATAATTGAATAAAATGTTAGTATCAGATTTTCTTTCGTAGCCTGTCTCTTGTTCATTATAATAATAATTCCAATGACTGAGTTCTGTCGTATCCTGGCAGGTGGAAAGTAAATGGCACTGATATTAACATTGAAGGGGACAGTCGTTACAGTCTGATTGGAGGAAATCTGGTGATCAGCAATCCAACACGTTCCAAAGACCCTGGATCCTATCAATGTCTGGCAACAAACTCAATTGGAACCATCATAAGTAGAGAGGCTTTCCTTCGCTTTGGCTGTGAGTCTCAGTATTTAGTAACTTACTGTGCCTCCAAATCCAACAATGCATCCTCATTCTGTGTGTGCACGTGTATGACCACGTGGGTGAAGGTGCATGAGTATGTGTAGATGAGGGTTTGTGTGTATCTGGATGTATGGGTGTGTGTGTGGGACTGTGTGTGAAAGTGTGTGTGTGGTTGTGTCTGTGTCTGTGTGTGTGTGGTTGTGTCTGTGTCTGCGTGTGTGTGTGGTTGTGTGTGTGTGTAGTAGTAGTTCTTCCTTGGACAAAGAATGATTTTTGTTCATGACATGGATCCACACAACAAATCTTTTTAACTCGGGGAGGCTGTTGCCCTGTAGCTAACATCCACCATCGCCCCTCCACCCCGGTTCCAGTAAACTCTCCTCCTCTTATCGTTTGCTGTCAGAAAAGTTGGATTTACAGAGTGATAATCAACCTGATTGGCCAGGCTATGGCACATTTGTGGCCATCAATTCCTGAGATGGAACCCAAACTAGAGTTTCTGGCCCACAGGTACGGACATTACCACCACAAGAGCTCACCCTCTCCTAATTGTAATGTATGCTGGTGTAAGAGACAATAAACAATTACTGTTCTCTGATTAAGACCAACTAAGAAGCAGGTGAAAATAAGATTCTACATCCTTATGTGGCCCTTGGTGATTCCTGGGTTGGACTGTGCTGTTGTCTCAGTGATTGTGGTTGAAGTGATAGGCCACAGCCTCACTGTCTGCAATTGAGCTGGCCAGGGAGACCCTGCTCTTGTGTGAGATTGGGACAATTCTGCACAAGGGGAGACACACATACCCTGGGCCTGTTTCTAACAGACTCGTGTTGCCATGCAATAGAAACATATCCCAAAACATTAACTTTCCTGCTACACTGATACTGCCTAGCCTGCTGCGTTCCTCCAGCTCCACACTGTGTTACCTCTGACTCCAATATCGGCAGTTCTTACTATCTCCAAAGATTAGAAGGTTTATTTTGTCAAAGTGCTCATTTAGTACTTGTGAAATATTGGTTTTGCAGTTATAATGGTAAATGTACATTTTTCTCAATAATTCAGATTACTTTGAATGCTGCCCATTCTGGTGAGTCAAAATCCTACTTCCCGCTTAGAAAATTGAAATAGTGCACTCATGGGGCCAGTTCCCGTGGAACATTTTCTTAGCTAAGCCTTCAATTTCTTCTCCATTAAATTCCACCATCTGCCCCCTTTAACTGACCTTTGAAATATCCACAAGATCCATTGAGCCTCTTAGTGATGATCATACATAGAAATATTTATTAAATAGCAAAATCCTTTTTGAAAGCAACTGCACAACTCTCCTTGCAAATAGAAAAATAAAATGATCAAAGAATAGGAGACAGGATCTTCAAGTCCTGCCTCGTGCAAGCTGTAACAGTCTGCTGTGATTCAGGCTGACTTGTGTTTCTAACATAGAGCTTAAAACCTGCTCTCTTGTTCTGACGTCACCCCCAACCTCATACACATATCCTCTCACCTATTCACCCTCATACACACACACACACACTCACAACTCTCACACACACACACGCGCAATCACACGCACGCACACACACACTCTCACACACGCACACACACACAAATGCACACACACTCTCTCACACACACATACACATAAACACACTCACCTACTGTCTCTCATTCACATGCACACCCTCACCTACTCTCTCTTGCTCACACACACACATTTACACACACATACACACACATACCCCCACCTACTCTCTCTCACTCACACGCGTACACACCCTCACTTACTCTCTCTCACTCACACGCATACACACCCTCACCTATTCTCACTCATTCACACAAACACACACATGCACACACCCTTACCTACTCTCTCTCGATCTCACACACACGCACGCACACCTTCCTCACTGTTAATTCTATTCTAAGGATGACTCGCAGAGATGGTGTGGCCAGGAGTCTGATGCTGGTTTTGGATAACCATGCAAATACCTTGCTGGCCACCAACCAGGAAGGAAAGGGAGAGCAGGATGAACTATCAAGCTACCTGTTTGAGTGATAAGATGATGCTGCCATGTTGGCAGTGACATTGTTGAATTATTTTATTGTGCTCAGCAATCCCTCAGTAAACTGTCCCATTAACCTGTATCATTTTCTGATTAATAGATCTTTCACAGTTTTCAACGGAAGACAGGGAAGAGGTGAAAGTGAATGAAGGGACGGGATTGATGCTTCTTTGCAACGCACCCCCACATTATCCAGGTAATCACTTTGTTCCTTTGCATTTTCATTTAATTTTCAGAGTATATGCGTCAGACAATCAAAACTGTGGAACATGGGAGCAGCAATAGGCCATTCAATCCAGTTCTGAGGAAGGGTCACCAGACGGGAAACATTAACTCTGATTTACTCTTCACAGATGCTACCAGACCTGCTGAGCTTTTCCAGCAACTTTGTTTTTTTTTACATTCAATCCATTAAGTCTGTTCTACCATTCAATATGATGATGACATCCTCTTCAGTGCCCTTCTCCTACATTAGCCCCATATGCCTTGACATCACTGGAATTTCATAATCTAAGAATTTCTACTTAGAACAAATTAACAGAATTATCAACAAACCAAATAATTTGCCCCTAACTCCTAACTATTCCCTAACTGAACAAGATTCCACTGGTATGCTATTCTGATAAACACATGTCCCACTGATATAACCCAAGTCATTAGAAAAAAAATTAAAACTTAGTCTATCAAAGTCCACACAGAATGTGTCTTCTGAATGCTCTGCCTTCTCCACTGTCTCTCCAGTCATAAATGCCTTTCTTCCACTGAACCTGCCGTCAGGGACGTTTTCTCTGTGAAGACACTTAGTTAGAAGTGTTGTGGTACCTTTTGTGGACAAGGTGGTGATTTCTTAGAGAGCTTATTGAGTTCATGTGAGAACTAGGTGCTTATTTCTCAGATGGCGATTCACTCTGACACTGATTTTCAAAAACCCTCTCCTTATATACCTTGGATGACATATTAATTTTCTTACATTAACATTGGTCTGAGGTTGTCAAAACCATCAGATTTAAATTCAATTGGCTTTCAATCGCTAAGTGCTTGGCTCCAATTATTTGGCTGATTCCAGCTAGATGCCAATACATTAAAACAAGCCTAAGGTGTCCAATCGCACAGCTAACTGATACATGTTTCAATTTTAGAATTGGCTGTACATCTTCAGCTCCATGCAGACACTCTTTATTTTCTGTATATGTCTCTAAGCTTAGAAAAGCACTTTATCTCCTAAAGGAACCACACACTCTACGCAACTTTGTAACACAAGTTTCTTAGGCGAGCTTGACATGATAGATGTAGAAAGGTTGTTTCCTGTTGTGGGACAATCTAGGAAATCAGGGCATAATCTCAGAGTGAAGAGTCACCCATTTAAGACAAAGATGTGGAGGAATTTCTTCTCTCATTGGGCAGCAAATCTGTGGAATTCTTTACCACAGAGGGCTATCAGAGTTAAGTCATTAAGTATAATCAAGGCTGAGATAGATTTTTAATCTATCAGGGATTCAAGGATTCTGGGGGAAAGGCAGGAAAGTTGAGCTGAGTATTAACCAACAATCTCATTGAACAGCAGTGCAGACTCAATGGGCTGAATGGCCCACTTCTGCTCCTAAATGTTGTGGTCTTTACCTGCAAAATGCTGAGAATGTGGAATTGGGTACCACAGATGTATTTGAGTCAAATCGCATAGCTGTCTTTCAAGAAAACATGAGAAAAGTTATACAAATTTTTTTTTAACAAACACAAGAACAGAAGTTGCTGGGAAAACACAGCAGATCTGGCAGCATCAGTGGTGAGAAATCAAAGTTAATATTTTGGGTCCAGTGACACTTCTTCAGAGCTAATTTATGATTTGTTTTTGTTTATGATTTCCAGCATTCGCAGCTCCTTCCATTTTAAAGTTTTTTTTAAATTGTTCATAGGATGTGGCTTTTTTGGATAGGCCACCATCTACTGCCCATCCCTAAATGCCCCTCAGAAGGTAGTGGTGGGCCACCCTCTTGACTTCATTTGAAAAATATCTTTGGCCATTTTAGAGTCAACCATATTGCTGTCAATTTGGAGCCACATGTGGGACTGACTGGGTAATGCTGGCTGATTCCCTTTCTGAAATGGACTTTCGTAACCAAGATGGATTTTTAATGATAATCTATAGCTCCATGGTTATTGCTACTGATGTAATACTCTTAATTCCAGATTTCTTTAATAATCGCACTTAAACTCCCCAGGTACCACTTGAGCTCACATAGAGTCATACAGCACAGAAACAGACCCTTTGGTCCAACCAGTCCATGCTGAACATAATCCCAAACTAAACTAGTCCCACCTGCCTACTCCTGGCCCATATCCCTCCAAACCTTTCCTATTCATGTACTTATCCAAATGTCTTTTAAACGTTGTAATTGTACCCATATCCACCACTTCCTCAGGAAGTTCATTCCACACACGAACCACCCTCTATGTAAAAAATATGCCTCTCATGTCTTTGTTAAATCTCTCTCCTCTCACCTTAGAAATGTGCTACCTAGTCTTGAAATCCCCCACCCTAGGGAAAAGGCACTAATAACCCTATCGCTACCCCTCATGATTTTATAAACCTCTATAAGGTCCACTTCTCAACCTCCAATGGTCCAGTGAAAAAGTCCCAGCCTTTCTTTTTCTCCAGTGCTAATGGGATCAAAGGGTATGGGGAGAAAGTGGGAACAGGGAACTGAGTTGGATGATCAGCCCTGATCATATTAAATGGTGGAGCATGCTTGAAGGGCTGAATGGCCTATTCCTGTTCCTAGTTTCTATGTTTCTATGAAAGAAAGGAGAGCCAGCTCTTTATGACCTCTCAGTTCATCGTCCTTGTAAATTGTTTCCACACCTCCTTTGCTACGCAATAGTTCCAGTCTATTTCAGTGATCATAGTCTCATTCCTTCCAGTTCTAATTTCATGGCTTTCTTAGTACTAATAGGATTTGTTTGTCACAGACATTTTATATTTTTAACCATTTAATATCCTGCCCTCGTACTTACTCACAGAGAATTAAAGGGAGATTTCATTGATGGGTGTACTATTAGGAAGGGCTTTGACAGAGTGGTTCGAGAGAAATGTTTCCGCTTTTAGGAATGTCAGAAGCCAGAGGACACAGATAAGTGGCAAAACAACCAGATGAGAGAATCTTTTTTACATGACGAATGGCTATGACCTAGAAAACACTGCCTGGAAGCTGGTTGACTAGGAACTTAAAACAAAGGAAATTAGATAAATATTTGATAAGGATGAGGCATCTAGTTGGAGGGCTATGGGGGCAAGAGCAGTGCGGTATTTTCCAGGTGACCAATCCTGGTTACCATCCACCACCTCTACCAGTCAGGGTAAGGGTAAGGGAAGGGTAAAGTTTATTTGAGATAGCTCACAGCCACCAATTCTCCTTTGCCTTTGCTTTGTCTTTGGAATATCTTGTGATATTGATTGAGTATACAGCACTGTAGTGTATCTACAGAAGATGTACTGTTCTTGGATAACAGAGAATCACAGCAATGTTACAGTGTAGGAGGAGGACATTCAACCCATCATGCCTATACTGGTTCTATTGCCAATCTCTTGCCTTTTCCCCAGGGCCCTGTACATTATTTTTTATCCAGATAACCATCCAAGCCCCTTTTGAGTGCATCAATTGAAACTGCCTCCACCAAGATGGCTTATTGCACGATTACTAGGACCTTAAGGAGGAGGTACGCATCCATCTGCTCCCTCCAAAAGCTAGAATAGAACTTCTTGTCTCCACCCACAGAGCATGCATGACATTAGTAAAATGGGTGGGCACAATATAACATGAAGATTAACCCCTTCAAGACCATTACCAGCAGAGGAGGTACCAATTTGCCTGTTGTTTTTACAGTCAATGCAGGCAGCAGTGATTCTCAGTAATTTAACATTTTACTCCAATTTCATTTTGATTCAGTGAATCCTATTCAAATGGTTACTCTGTGGTCATTTGTTTGAAATGCTGACAGATGGATTGATTTATCGTTTTTCTTCATATTTGTTTGCATTGCAGCTCCCACATATCGCTGGTTTATCAATGAAATCCCAAACTTTGTAATGCCAGATGATCGTTACTTCATCTCGCAGGTGACAGGGAATCTCTATATCGCCAAAGTGAAGACTTCCGATACTGGGATCTACTCCTGCTATCTTACTAGTCACATTGACTACGCCACAACAAGTGTCTTCAGCAAGGCCATTCCACTGAATGTGCAGTTTGTGGGTCAGTCCCTTTTTACCTTCATTAAAGTTCACTTATGGAACAGTGGGCACAGGTTGAAGTTAAGGTAAACTGAGTTAAATGTGGAACTAAAACTAGAATCATTAGGCTGGGGTAGTGAAATAACTCTGAAGGACGGTACCTTGTCACCAAATCACCTTTTGAATGATTGAATTAGCTTTATTGTCACACGTGCATAGCACATGACTCTGACCCAGCTAGCACAGAATCAGCTCCTAGAGTGAGCAGAACCTCTGGCACTCCTGTTTATATCTGTCAGCCAGAGCTCCCTGATTTGACCAGATTAACAGCCCCAATCAGGGAACTCATATTCTATGAGGTCCACCTGGCTGATCTCGTTACAATCACTACAGGTAGATGCAACCAAGGTGACATATAGAGGACTGAATAGCCTCCTCCTGTACCTATGAAATACTAGTTCAGTAAGCTGAAGCCTCAGAGTTGAAGCCAGCCATAGCTGACAGGCAAACCGTGGTTTATGGCAAATAATGAGCTGTTTCCTTGGTCCTTCAAAAATGCTTCTTGAGAAAGTCGATAAAGTTGACAAGCTGAATGAGGAAAAAAAACTATCGCCTGTGCAACTCACATTGGTTTGCTGGTACATTTAGCAGGAAGAATGTAACGGTGTTCACAGAGTGTGCCACAGGCTATATTGGGAGGGTAGGTCAAAATGGGTCAAAATCTTGGAACTTCCTCCCTGTAACAGTCTGCGTCTAGCCACACCACAAGGACCACAGCATAACAAGGCCACTCCACCACCACGTTCTCCAGGGCAATGAGGGAACGGCAAGGTCAGTGACCCAATTGGCAAAACTAACATCTCGTGAATGACTCAGAAAGAAGTCTATTTTAGAGCAATCCATTTACTCTGTGAACAGAGTCTATTTCAGCAATTCATTGTAGCTACCGCCCTCCAGTATCTATTCAAATAGAGTCTCTACAAACTGCAGCAAACAGAACTCAGGAAACTATCCCCAGATAGAAGCAGGATGGTCTCTCCTGCAGAATGCAGTTGGTGCAGGATGGTTACTAAAGACCAATTCTATATAGAATTCGATCCAATCACTGACACTACTGCAATCTCCTGCTCTGATTGGTTTGAGAATTATCCAGTTATGTCCATTCTGGCTCAGCAATAGTGGCTTCCCTATTGAACAGCTATAAGGCCAGACTTGGGAGGACAGATGGGCCGGATTTAGTCCTAGTTCCATGGCACATGTACAAAAGCCATCAGGAATGACAGTCAGCTGAAGCAAATTCCTTGGCAGGAAACTCATTGTGGCACAATCTTACCACCGGATCATGTTGGCCCGGGGTAGCTCTGACATTGGAAAGCCTGCACTACCAGATGTCCATAATGGAGGGGACATCCTACTAAGAGGGCATCCAGCTCTGCCCAAGAGCCGTGAATTGCCCTGCAAGGTTTTAAAGAAAGCTCTGCAGCTCAGGCCTGCAGCATCTGAATGCCCGTTGGTCCAGCTCAAAAAGACTTTCTAAAGCTGGAGGACAAGGTCCCTCTAGATCTTGGGGACCCAGATGTGAAGCCACTTTAAGGGGTGACCCCTCTGTACCTCGGTCATGCATTGCCCTTTTAAATTTTGGAACCAGATAGGCTCTGAATTTCCTGGCTGAGAGATTGCAGGAAACATAGAGAAAACATCTCTCAGATCAGTCCATTACTCAGCTACCTGCAAAAAAAATGACCAATCTGGAGTACTTTGACCAGTCTCCTTATTGAAGACAGGATATAAATGCATCAGAAGCAGTTCAGAGAAGGTTTACCAGAATAATCCTTGGAACGGTGAGTTGTCTTATGAGGAACGGTAGGATAGACTCGAGCTTAGAAGGATAAGAGGCAACTTGATTCACAGAAAGATCATAAAATCCCTACAGTGTGGTAACAGGCACTTCAGCCCAACAAGGCCACACCAACCCTCAGAGCATCCCCCCATAGCCCACCTAATCTACACATCCCTGAACACTATGGGCAATTTAGCATAGCCAATCCACCCTAATCTACACATCTTTGGACTGTGGGAGGAAACCAGAGCACCCAGAAGACACCTACACAGACACAGGGAGAACGTGCAAACTCCACACAGTCACCTGAGGATGGAATCAAACCTGGGTCCCTGTGAGGCAGCAGTGCTAACCACTGAGCCACTGTGCCGCCAATGTTTAATAGAATTCGACTGGATGTGGCTGTTGGTGGTAAGATGTGAATGTCTTGAGTGTGGTGTGTAATGTCCCTTCCTCTGGACCAGAGACTCCAGTTCCAAGTCTCATTTCAGGACCTGAGGGTCATGGAAAATATAAGGGCCTGACGGGCCTTTACAGGGCAGATGTGGCAAAGACGCTTATTATTGTGGTAGAATCTGGAACTAGGTGTCAAAAGTAATTGGTTATCCATTTAAAAAAAGGGAAGAAGTTTTTTTCCTTATAGAGTCTTGTGTCTTTGGAACTGTCTTCCTCAAAGGGAAGTGAAGCAGAGTCTTTGAACAATTTTAAGACAGATGTACATAGATTCATGATAAGCAAGGGGATGAAAGTTTATTGAGCAGAGGCATATAGGTGGGATACATTGTGTTACGTCTCACAGTCAGTATGTCTGTATACCTTTAAGAGACAGCTCACAATATCATCACTGTATCATAGAATGAGACCTGAGAGTATAACAATCTCAGACACCATCTTACCCAGGAATCACTTGAAGCATGACACTCTACCAGCACTATGCCGCTCCGTGCTTACTGCCATATTCTAATGATTGTGCTTAATAGATAGTTGTATTAAATATCTTTTAGATTCCTCAATGCCACAATATCCTCAACTGTAGCAAACTTTGTTTTAACCAGCACCTTATGAGTCAGCACTCTCAATAAACCAGCAAAAGTTATGTACCTCAAATACCAGAAGTTTACTGTATTATTGCAATCTCTGAGTAGTCAATTGAAGGTATAAGCGAGAAGGCTCTCTGCCTTTAAGTTTTATTTAAGTCAAAGTTATATTACTATTTGAGTGGTTTGTACTGTAAATAAAGTATAACAGTGATGTGTATACCCCCTGCATTACATTTTGATTACTTAATGTGTGTTATTTATGTGGACCTCTTGATCAACCAGAATATTTGATCAACTGGTACATTCCTGGTCCCATAAGTACCAGCGAATACAAAGTTTGCTGTAGTTGCTTATGTGACATGAGATAACACTAGCATTGCCACATCAGGTAAAAGCACCTAAAAACAACATTAAAATAATCAGGTCAACCATGATCAACCATGAACAGTGTAGAAAGACCAAGTAGCCGATTGCTGCTTTGAATTCATAAGTTTGTATGAATGACCCCAGCAGCAAGTCAAGATAAAACTCACTAGCTTTCACTGGGCAGGTTACTGAAGGCACAAGAGATATGTGTGAATGGTATTAAGCAGGGAGGTAGGATTAAATCACGCTGATTTCCAATTGAATTATAGGCTGATGGTATGTTTCATTTCCCAATTAGCTTCTTACTGCTCAATGGTGAGTTTCCTATTTTGTTACATTCCCATCACTGGCCTAATTGCTTACAATTTTCCCTCCACCTTGAGGCTGGCATGTGGTCTCCAACACGACTCTCCATCTCAGCCCACCATCTCACCCGTTCCAGCAGGCACCTCCAAATCCAGCTCGCTCAATGTGTATGCTTACCAAGGATATATTCCCAAACTCCACCCGGTCAGTTAAAGCAACAATTCCTCACACAGCTATTGTTGTAGTTGTAAATGTTACTTACTGGGCACGATGTTCCTGCAAGTGATTTAGTGAGGCAAGTACTAATGATTAGAAGTGACAAAAAACACAGACCGCCATTGATGAAATAGTGAGATTTCTCCTTCCAGTGCAGAGGTGAGTGGCAGATCACATGATTGGTCTGAATGCAAAGAATGACAAAAAGATTAATCAAAATAAATAAAACAAGTGGAAGTTGCCATGAAATGTAAAACATGTGGACAGAAAGTGTTTCTGTAGGAGTACCTGTAAAGGGCAGCACAGTGGCTCAGTGGTTAGCCCTGCTGCTTCACAGTGCCAGGGACCCACGTTCAATTCCAGCCTTGGGTGACCGTCTGTGTGGGTTTCCTCCCACTGTCCAAAGATGCCTCAGTGAGGTGGATTGGCTGTGCTATATTGTCCCAAAGCATCCAGGGTGCTTAATAGGTAGTTGTATTAAATGTCTTTTAGATTCCTCAATGCCACAATATCCTCAACTGCAACAAACTTTGTTTTAACCGGCACCTTATGAGTCAGCACTCTCAATAAACCAGCAAAAGTTATGTCCTCAAATACCAGAAGTTTACTGTATTATTGCAATCTCCGAGTAGTCAATTGAGGGTATAAGCCTATATAAGGGTTTAAGGGTGTAGGCTAGGTGGATAAACAATGGGAAATGCATGATTATAGGGTGGTTCTGGGACGGGTGCCCTTCAGAGGGACTCAATGGGCCAAATAGCTTGCCTGATTCTATGAAAGGTAAAGAGTAAGCAAAGTGAGTCATGGCTCTCTAAAAGGTGAGATGATAATAAAAATGACAAATGTAATGAGTAAATGCTTTGCTTCTGTCTTTGCTATCCGGGATTTTTTAAAAAGTTCCAGTATTACCTGGATATCTGGAGGTGGAGGAAGAGAGAAGCATGGTGAAATTATAATCTCTAGGGAAGTTGTATCAAGCAAACTGATGGTGGATTAATAAGTCTCTGAGTCCCGATAGATATTAAAAGAGATGGCTAATGAAGTAATAGATGAGCTGGTGCTAATTTTCCAAAATTCATTAGATTCTGGAAAGTTTGCATTAGATTGAAACTAGACATTGGTGAGGCCACATTTGCAGTACTGTGTACAATTCTGGTTGCCTTGCTTTGTTATTAAACTGGAAAGGATGCAAAATAGATTTACAAGGATGTTACAAAGATTTAATTTATAAGGAGAAGCTGGATAGACTGGAAC